GCTCATAATTCTTGCTGTCAGCACAAGCAGTTAAAATAATAGCCATCGTTGTAGAGTCGGGTGAAATATTTAGATGTTGCATTTCAGCAAGTATTTCTATTGCTCCATTTAAATCACCTTTTCCAATATAGGATTGAATTAAACAGTTGTGATGATGTGGTATCTAATCTATCTTTTGAAACACTCTCAAATAATTCAATGGCCTTATCAAATTTTTCACATTTGTTATAGAAATTAATCATTGAGGTTATCGAATGATTATTTGATGTCTTGTTCTCTCCAATTATATTTAACACCTTCAATCCTTGTTCATAATTCTTGCTGTCAGCACAAGCAGTTAAAATAATTGTCAATGTGGCCGAGTCGGGTGAAATATTTAGATGTTGCATTTCAGCTAGTATCTCTATTGCTCCATTTAAATCACCTTTTCCAATATAGGATTGAATTACACAATTATATGATGTGGTATCTACTCTATCTTTTGTAACGCTCTCAAATAATTCAATGGCCTTATCAAATTTTTCACATTTGTTATAGAAATTAATCATTGCATTCAACATCCTAATAGTGATGTGCTTGATTTTGTTCTTAAGCGAAAGTACTTTCAACCCTTGTTCGTAATTCTTACTGTCAGCACAAGCAGTTAAAATAATTGTAAATGTGGCCGAGTCGGGTGAAATATTTTGCTGTTGCATTTCAGCAAGCATCTCTATTGCTCTATTTAAATCACTTTTTCCAATATAGGATTGAATTAAACAATTATATGAAGTTGTATCCAATCCATCACTGCTAACGTTTCTAGTAATTTCAATTGCCTTATCATAGTCTTCACATTTGTTATAAAAATTCACCATTGTGGTTAATAGCACTTTGTTGGTAGTTTTGGAATGTTCAATCATTGAGCAAATCATTCTACTTTCTTTTTGTTTGTTTTTCTTTAAAGAGAAAGTCAATGAGGAAATAAACAGATTATCAAAAATTTTGATTTTTTGAGCATTCATTTCATGTAATAATGTCATCCCCTCTTCAAAATTATATTTAAACAAACACTGTGCATAGTAATTGTAGGCGTATAAACTGACTTGTTTTCTTTCAAGTAAAACAGAAAATATATGTTTGGCAATATCCAATTCAAAATCATTCGGATAACTTGAGAGAACTTTTAAGATTTGATCCAATCTAAAACTCTTCAGAGAAGCAAGTGATGAATTTCCAAGTTTTCTAACAAGAGTTACAACCTCATCATAGCCTTCTTCTTGCACTAATGTAGAAATGGCAATATCAATGGTTCTAATAGTGGCAGAGCCTTCATCAAAATGATGAATAATATTTTTCAATTCATCAATATATTTCCTTCTTTCCACTTCCGATCGTTTATGCTTAGAGCACAAAGTAATCATAAGGGTTGCAAGACTCATTGATTTTGTGTTCGTATTCGCATACAGACTTGCGCATTCTTCAAAGGTTAAATGTGGTTTCATTATTTCTCTGAACACTTTTTCTGCCGAATTAAAGAAAGGTCGGATAGTAGAAGAAAGTGCCGAACAGTGGCAGAGCGAATGGAAAAGAGAGGTCGCATTTTTTTTGAGAGTTTAATTTGTTTGCTGATTTGAGGAATCTCCCCTTAATCAAAATCTCAGCTGATGAAAAAAAGACCAGAACCTTATGACCAATATAATGATGATAGCAACAATTTGAATTAGATGAAGAATTAACTTGAATGGTATCATTCAGAGAGAAGGATAATTCACCATGTCTTTGATAAGGGGGAATTAAGAGCTCCAATCTGTAAATATTAATCCCTCCTCTGCCATTCGTTTCCGAAATTGCATCACAAGTTTCCAATTATTTGAATTATCACCCCAATTTATGTGAGGAAAGCACTTCAAAAGAGAATTCAGGTGGATGGAAATCATTGTGGTGATTTTTCACTTGTCAATGCCACCGACATTATGACAAAACCATTCTCTTCTAATTACAAAGCTTTCCTAGACTAGGTGATTACGATGAAGGAGAATTTATTTAATGATTGGGAAGATAGAATATTTGGAAAAGAAGAATAAAGTAAATTTCCTTACTGAAAATATAGGCTATTGTGCAGTGAATTTAGGAAGAGTCAGACCATAACCAAATTCTATTTTACGAATTGCAAAACCTTAAGCTTTTTAAACTTTCATATGTAAAAAAATGCCAAACAAGTTTACCGCCATTTTATCTAATTAATCCAAAACTACAGAAAATGAGTGAACAATATGTTACCATTACAGAGGAGAACGGAAATGAAGCGCTTGTTTCATTGACAGAAGCAATAGATAAATTGCCAACCCACTTGTCGTTTTTTATACATATTCCTCGGGAAACACAGGTTAAGAGAAATATTAGAGCACTAGCTGTGCATGCGGATGTTTATGGTGAGGTGTCGAGAATTTATTGTTCACCACCATCAGCTGAAATACAAGGTGATTCTTCTTTTATCAAAGTAGTATGCTTTTCAAGGAGCAGGAGAAAGATTAAAACCTTTTTAATGTTGTTGTATAATAGCTGGATAGCTGATTACCCCATTGAATTCTGTGTCAAAGAACCTGCAACCTTTGGCCATCACAGATTTAACATTGTCAAAGAAAGCAGACAGGATAATTCTGTCACATTAACAGAAGATATAATTACTATACCAAGTATTGAACAGAGCCATTCCTGTAATGATAAACCTCTTTCGTTTTATAAAAGAACTTGGGGTGGTAAGGGCAATATTTCAAGGCATTCATCTTGGGAAGCCATTAAAAGATATACTTCAAATGTTGAAGCACTACTAGACTATCTTTCAGAACCACTAACCTCCTCTTCAGAGGGTCTTTCTGAATCAAGCAAAGAATTTAAATATACAAAAACGAAACAAAAACGAAAAGAGCGTGCCCAAAACAACACATCGATAAGGGTTGCAAATATTGAGTCAAAATTACAATTAATGAAATTACAATTAGAAGAACAAACAAAAATTGAGGGGACTTTGCAAAAGGCAACAGGTTTTTTAGAAATTTCTGAATTCAAACTTGATAAAAGCAAACCAAAATCGTGGAGAAGGGAACAAATGAGAATGGTTTTGATAGACTATGATGTAGGAGTTGGGATCAATGAGGAAGACCTTCAGTCAAAAATAGTTAGTGGATTTGATTTGGAAAATGTTGTGGATACCTTAATATTCTTTAAAGGAGAAAAAGAAGAAAAAATTGAACATGCATGTACAAGGAATCGATAGTAATGTTGTAAATGCCATTGTGAGATGGGCTTACAGGAATTTAACAGAAACCAAATAAGAGTCAAAAATCATTCATTCTTTGTTGCTATTCGATTGTCAAAAACCTATTCAGAAAACCTCAAAGTAACTTTTCAAATAATCGATTCAGTGGTAGAACTTAAATTGAATTTCCAAAGATTGAAAAGTTATTCCTCCAGAGCCGGATTGACGATGTTTGCCTTTTGTTCAGTTTATTAAGGTAATTGATGGATCTATTTCAATGGAGTTTGATCATATTGGATGAACAACATCCTTATAGTTATCAATAACTTTAACAATTCCTGAAACACCAATGTGGTATTTACACCCAAAGTTGATTGTAGACAACAACCATTCCTCCAAATAAAAGATCGCTTAGCTGTGTCAATTATTAATTTTGGACGGGAAGCCTGCCAGGAATATGGCGACAATAAAGTCGTTGAAATTGAAACTTCATAAATTTCAAAATTATTTACAATTTACAATTTACTGAATTATTTACAAGTTGTAATTTACATCTTTTTCGATTTGGTAATCTTCTTATTTGTTGTGGTTGATTGTTGTTTAGCTCTCTTTTCAATTGAATTTTTCGAAGATCTTTTCACTGAAATTTGTTTACCATTTAAATTTGCATGATGATAATCAATATTATTACGATGTCTAGTTCCACTTATAATATTTGAAGTATCAATATCAAATAATGGTAATCTTTTAGATAAATCAATTGGTTTAGATCTTGACCAGACTGTTTTTGTTGGAATTCTATCTTCGGAAGATGAAGAATTTGATGAAGTATTTCTAGCTGGCATTTTGATTAGTATTTGTTATTTAGTTATTTTGTTTTGTTGTGGAAATATCATCCAAAACCAATTATCTATTTATTTCCATTGATGATTTCCACTAATTTTGTGATTCCGATTTTTAGTGGATTTTCCACTCATCACAAGAATTTGAATTTTTCTATTAATATTTTGATGAAAGAAATTTAATGAAAACCAACAAAAGAAAATAACAATAAGAAAATGGTCTCAACAAGAAGAAATATGTATAATTCCTCCAATAACACTTCACAATTTAATTCCGAAATTTCATTGGATAATATTATTGGTGGAACAAGAAGAAGAAATTTAATTGATTACAAAACATTGAATTCTATTGGAAGTGAAACAAGTAAAACTTCTAAATCTCAATCACATAACACCTTAGAAATGAGAAACAAACAATTCAAAATGTGGTAATCTCCATTAAACTCAAAATTTTGTAAACCTAGGCATTCATTGTAAATAAATCAAAATGTAAATATTCAATAAAGCACACAGTTGAGTTTTTTTGACCCCTTATTTCGTTGAACTTTTGTTCAATACACGTCCTACTTAAATTTCAATGTAATTTATCAACTCTGTGTTTACTTCATGTTCAACTATCTCAGAGAAGTTAAATCATACAATAACAAACAACGACCATAATTCAGTTCTCAAAAACCATACATCTTGAAAGGCTTTTAAGATTTGTTCGAATTTCCACTCTTTGGTTTCTTCATACTTACCTTGAAGGACATTTCAGTGATCATGCAGACTGAAATGTGAATCTGGAAACTCTCCTCCTTGCACTCAGAGGATGAGAAGCCAGAATTTGGTCAATAATCAAAGTGGTTGTTGCCCTCCTTCTCAATTTTTTCCTGTGAGGATTCATCTGGTATGATTTCTCGCTCTGTTAAATAATAGAAATTTTGTGTGTGTTGGAATTTTGCTGCGGTGAAGATCCAATGCCAACTGAAACCAATACAAGGCAAATTATAGGTTTGCTGAAGCTACATCAAAATTCCAAAAGCTCAAGATTGTGAGCAAGTCTGTGGTAAAAGATAAAAAGACTACAGCACCACAGGTTCCTGGCTCGACGATGCTTAACTTCTCAAATCGGACGGGATGAGGTGCATTCATCGTGATATGGCCGTAGCCATTCACTTCCTTAATCTTTCACTCTTCAACAATATGAAGTAAATCTATCTTTAGAATAACACAAACATAGCACGGCGGGTACAATCAATAAGTTAACTAGGCACTTTACAATTTATTCATCAATTTCATACAAATATTTAAGAAGTTCCATAATCAAAACAGTAAACATGTGCATTTGCAATTCCAACAAAACATTTGTTATTTCCATTACAACAAGTTCTAATGCATTTCCCAAACTTTTCTGGTAAACCTTCAAATGTTTTAATCTTTGATTTGGCAGATTTCAATTCTTCCAATTCAATTGGCATTATTTCTAACATACTCATTAGGTCGATACTTTCGTATACTTCTCTTTCGTCCTCTCTCAAATAATCTTCATTCAAGAATTGAGTAATAAAATCCTCTGATGAATGAACTCCAAATTTTACACCAATCGGAGTTCGGTAAATTGCTAATCCCCAATCTCCGTAGCTGATTAACTTTAAAGCACCATTTGATGTGGTTTCTCTTCCGATACAAAAATTATGAATTAGAAAATCGTTTAATTGGGGAGGTGCAAAAGTGGTTGGTGTGGGAGTAGCTTGTTTCTTTTTAGTCATTTTTTTATTCGATTCAAAGTTAATTATATCTGCAAGTGCAAGTTCAAAAAAACAGATGGTATCAACTTTCTAATAATAAAGTTGTTTGATAATAGGATGAAACAACAACTGTTAGTGTTGTTCGAAGAATGGTAATCAACCCAAACAAATCCAATCCGAAATTTTGACATTGTTCCAGAAAAAAACTATCTAATCTCATCGATTTCCTTAAAAATCGAATACTCTTTGAATTTCTCACTGAACTAACTACATGCTCTTTGAGAGCTTGTAAAACAATTTCTTTATCAACTTTCAATCTTCCTCTAGCATTAGAAATAGAACCACCGTTTTTGACAGCTGTTAATACAATATCACGATCATTTAGTAGCTCAATATTCTACTCATGAGTTTGGATGTGAATTGAGTTTAACATGAAGTTAACTCATTATTTCTCCAGATAAATTTTCAGATAAATCCCAAAATGTTGTTATACGAGTGGAATAATCAAAATATATTTTTTCCTTTTTTACAAACTTAAAAAAATAATTCAACATCACAACCAACCCATGCTGTCGAATATTGATAATTTAACTGATGGGTTTCTTGTCATTTTAATCCTGGATTCGAATATTAAATCCGAAATGTTTTTTCGTAAATTATCTGGCAAGCCAAAGAAATATGAAGTGACTTTAATTGTACATACCATGCAAGGTTTCTCCCTCTTGGGAGGTAAAAACCACCTAAACATTATAGGATTTGATCTTGTAAGGAACAGAAATCAAATTACAAAACTTTTAGTCAACTTGATCAATTCCAATTTCAAACACAATACAACTGAAAACCCAATTCTAAAAATGGTTTCTATATTCGATTTGTGGGATCATAAACCAGTTGTTCTCGCAATTTTCTCAATTCATTTCAAAGAAAAACGTCAACCGTTGCGAGCTGTCAGTAAAAGATTAAGAAATGACAAGGAAGTTGTGATGGCAGCATTTGAAAAAGATTATTCACAGTTTAAATATGCTTCCAGTGAATTGAGAGCAGATAGAGAATTTGTATTATTACTTGCTAGAAGTTTTGGTGATATTGGACTAGTTCTTGAATATATTTCTTCTGATTTGACAAGTGACAAGGATTTTATGAGTGGTTTATTTGAAGCAGATTCTAAAGGTTTTGGATACTTTCCAATTGAATTAAGATCAGATAAGGATTTCGTTTTACAAATTATTGGTAAATCTACTTATGATTTAAATTTGGAATTTCTAAGACATTTGAGTGACAATCTTAAAGCGGATAAGGAAATAGTGTTGAAAGCAGTTTTTCCTAATGAATATTCAACCCAACAGCTAGATATCTACCTTAATAATGATAGAGAAATAGCTCTGACAGCTGTCAGGAAGGAACGTTTGGTATTTCGATTTCTATCAAAAGAATTACAAAGCGATGAAGAAATTCAAAAGTATATGATTGAATCGTTTGGTAATGATCTTGTCAATTCCAAAAAAAGGAATAAAATCTAGCATTTTTTAATTTTGTTATTCCAAAATGAAAATGTGAAAAGTGTTGATTACATTGAAGATGGAATTGTATTGTTCTGATTCGAAACCTTTCTAATAATTAACTTTTGAGTGATCTTCAATGAAGTGAATTAAATAATGTTTCTAATAAAAAATTAACCTTTAAAATTTATATAAGTTATTTCAACATCTTCACAATTATGATGAGAAAGAGTTTGGACTGATCTGTGGAGTGCTGTTTTGTAATTTTTCAACAATTCAAAAAGAGAAGCATTCGAATCATCAGAATAATCTAGAAGAAAGTTGAGTACATAAATCAAACGATTGAAAACCAAGATATCTGAAGGATTTTCATCGATGTATCTTTGAAAGATTCGTCTTGCTTCTCTGACTTTCTCTACAAAGTTTGATTCTTCAGTTTCCACTTCAAATATCGAAACGAAAGAATTTTGTAAAACTTTAAATTGTGAATTACTATTCGATTGTTCCAATTCATAAAGCCATTCATCAGGATTGACCAAATTTTCCCTCAATACTTCATGAACTGAAATAATCTGTTTAGTTTTCGAATTGAAAACTTCCATTTCGATTCGGTCAATTGGTCTAATCACAAATTGACTTATTACTACAGGTGATAACGTTCCACTATCCACCAAAACTTTACAATCAAGAGTATGCCCAAAAATTGCCAATTTTCTAGCATTTGAAACAATTGGACCAACCACAGAATAGCAACGTAAAGAATGGTTTCCAATATTTCCAATGTACGCCATGTCAGTAAAAATTCCAATGCAATAACTAACTTTTTTCTCTGATTTTCCAAGAATATTATCTAGAATTTTGCTAATTTTTAAGCTTGCCTCAATGGAAGCCATTTCACATTTCTTATTGGAATCGACGAAAGTGAGTTGGTATTCGTCTATTCCAAAAATGAGTAAATCCGAGACTTGCATGGTTTTGCAAAGAGTTGAAAGTCCATTAGCGATCTTGGAAAATATATTCGAAATTTCATTTGTCGAAACCTGTTCATGAAACCAAATAGCTTGACATTTACAACGCTACAT